CCAATTAGATGAATGAAAAAGAGATAAGAAATAGGAAGGGAAGGGAAAGGATGCTGACATGTTTTGAGTATCTACTCTGTTCCAGGCACTATGCTACAGTCTGGCTCATTCAGTGCCCATTTAACGTTAGTCCATGAGAGACGCGGTAGTTTCCCCATTAGAAACACAGAACCCTTAAATAACTTGCCCCATATCACAAAGTTCTGGATGGAATGGAATTCACATTGATTTGTTCTCTCTCTGAAACCTGTGATGTTTATTGGTGCTAGCCATTTTGGTTATGATTTGGAGGCTGGTGAGGATTAAAAAGAAATCATTGTACGGGGTGCCTGGTTAGCTCAGTCGGTTAAACATCAGACTTTAGCTCAGGTCATGATCTCATGGCTTGTGAGTTCTAGCCTCACGTCGGGCTCTGTGCTGACAGCTCAGAGCCTGGAGCTTGCTTCAGATTCTGGGTCTCCCTCTCTCTCTGCCCCTCCCCTGTTCGCACTGTCTCTCTCTCAAAAATAGTAAACAATAAAAAATTTAACAAAGAAATCTTTGTAGAATCAAGTTATATTGGAGAAATTTGATAGTTTTCCTGGTATAAATCCTTCCCACCAACACAACATCCTCCAGATGAACCTATGGGAAGTTCTCTGTATCTGTTAGGGTAAATAATACTAGCTGCAAAGCAAGCAAACTGCAAAAGGCAGAGGGCTTTCCTGCTTGCATATTGTTCCACTAGTTCTGTGGAAATCTGGACAGAGATTCAGTTGACCCAGATTCTTTCAATTAGTGGTTTTGTCATCTCTTGTGGTCTGAATCCACTCCACCCAGCTGGTGACAAAGAAAGGGAATGAACAGAACATCACCTGGAGAGTTTTGTGATCCAGACTTGGAAATGGCATATATGATCTGTACTCATATTCTATGGCCAAGAACACAAACACATGGTTAAAATTAATTGTATGAAGGCAGAGGAATTGAGCTTACATATGTTTCCAGGAGTAAAAAAGAAATGGCTTAGGACAACAACTAACCTTTCTTTTCCATTATAATGCTTATGATCATCAAATATCCATTTTACCTTCCTTCCATATGGAAAATTTACTATTTACCGCCACCAGGGAGACAACCTAAATCCCAATTAATTAATATAGAAGCACAATGTCCAGGCTATTGAAGAGGTTAAAAGATCTTCTCCACCCAGTCCATGTGTGGCTCCTTGTTGCCTAGTAGCTTATGCACTAAAAGGAAAACTTAGCTCATTCCACATTCATTTCCAATAAATAAAATTGGACTAGAGTAAAGATAACAGGAAAAAAGGAGCTCCCATTCAGAATGAACAGTAATGGAAGACACGCAAATTTCAATTTAGGAATCTTATGGAATTGACATCTCGAAGGCCCCTCAATCCTGGTGATGGGATATATTTATTTATGAGACGCTGATTTTTCTTTTCAGGAAAAATCCATTTTCCATTAGTTTCTCTACTACCTGGTTCAATCTCTTCTTTTGAAATACATCAGAGAAAAACTATGTCTAATGCCATATTAATAAAAAACGCCATCAGCATCACAGTTTGTGGGTTTTTTAAAAGTTTATTTATTTATTTTGAGAGAGAGCATTAGCAGGGTAGGGGCACACAGAGAGAGGGAGAGAGAGAATCCAGGCAGTCTTGGTGCCTTGTGTATGGAGTCCGACGCAGGGCTCAAACTCACAAACTGTGAGATCATGACCTGAGCTGAAATCAAGAGTCAGTTGGTGAACCGAATGAGCCACCCAGCCACCCTAAATTTTGGTAGTTTCTTATTTTGTTATCCTGTTAGATTTATAACTATTTGATTTTGGGGGTGCTAATATGAAAGACTTCATGTTTTTTTTTCTTAAATAGTTTATTGTTAAGTTGGTTTACATATAACACCCAGTGCTCATGTTTTTAATTTCAATTTCCACTTGTTCATTTTCAGTATATAAGAAAGTGATCATATTTAGTATATTAGTCTTGCATCCAAAAATCATACTATAATCACTTATTAGTCTTGGGAGGGACTAATTTTTCCCTATTTTTTCATATTTTCTACACAGACATTCATGTTACCTGTGAACAAAAATAGTTTTTATTTATTCCTTCCCAAGTCTCTGCATCATGAGATTCCATTCATATAACATAGGGATGGAGAAAATCTCAATTATTTCCAAGAGATGAGGGAGTAAGGACTGATAGTCTATAACAGAAATCGAAAGAGAAATATTAGGATGACAATGTATTCTCCATGGTACAATGCTGGTACTACACTTGATCTTAGCCAAAAGGCCGAGAAGCAATGGTACAGTGCTGGCGAATACAAGACTCATTTGTTAAAACACTTAAAACTCTACATACCAGAGTACAATTAATATACACAAATCTTGGTTTCCTAGTTTTACAAATGCCTCATGGTAATATAAGGTTACTTTTTAAAGGAAACTAGGTGAGAGTTGTATTCATTTTCTATGGCTGTTATAATAAATGACCACAAACTTAGAAGCTTACACAACATAATATTAATTCTTTCACAGTCTAGAATCCAGAAATCCAAATCAGGCTCTCTGGACAAAAGTCAGTGTGTTGGAAGAGCCACGCTCTCTCCATAGGCTCTAAGACAAAATCTATTTCTTGCCTCTTCCATCTTTTAATGGCTGCTGTCTTCCATGGTTTATGGCCACATGACTTCATCTACTCCAATGTCATATTGTTTACTCCTCTTTTATCTGTGGTCAAATGTCTTATAAGTATACATGGGATTTTCTTCATGGTCCACACAGAAAATATGGGATTAATCTTTAAGTTAATCATATCTACACAATCCTTTTAGGCCATATAAGGTAACCTTGGGAGATTCCAGAAATTAGGATGTGAATCTCTTTACAGGTCATTATTCCAATTGCCACAGGGTTACATTGAACATTCTGCACTATTCTGAAAATTTTCTGTAACTCTAAAATAGTTCTAGAATTAATTATTCTAACATTCTAATATTATTCTAATATTCTAATAATAGAAGTAATTATGTAAGATAATAATAAAAATTTAGATAATAATGTTTTTGATAGAAAAAAACGTCACCATAAACATAGAAGTGAATGTTTGTGTTATACTACACTGCCCCCAAATAGTAACATGTGGATATTAGCATATTCAAGCACAATCTTACAAATACTGAAATATCAAAATCTTTTGTTATCTAGAGGTAACAAATGAGATGAGGGTACACATTTATGTGGGTGGATTTGTACAGTATAAAGCTCTCTAAGGGTCAAAATTAAAAGCATAAGTATTGTGCATTATACTAGCATATTGAATGTATATTATCTTTATTATTGACAGATATTGTCATATATATCAGATATATATGTTAGATATCTAGAATCATTTCAGTTAACTATATTTCATATATATGAAGTAATTTTCAAATAAAATTAGATACTAGCCCTTAAATAATTTTTTTCAGAGAGAGAGAGAGCGTGAGCTGGGGAGACGGGAAGAGAGAGAGAAAATTTCAAGCAGGCTCCTCATTCTGTGTGAATCCCAATGAGGGGCTTGATTCCATGACTCTGGGATCATGACCTGAGCCAAAATGAAGAGTTGTACAACACTCAACAGACTGAGCCACCCAGGTGCCCCAACCCTTCAAAACACTTTAAATTTCATGTCTTTTTATGATTTACTAAACTACTTATTTGATATGTTACTTGCCATTTAATGAGGCATCACTTCAAAGTAAATATCATGGGATTGTTTCAGATGATTCACTTGATTATGGGATCCAGGAAATCATTGTGCCCAAACTTTGGAGTACAAACACTGAGTAAGATAAAAATATTTCAGCAAATTGGGGTGCCTGGGTCATGATCTTACGGTTTGTGAGCTCGAGTCCCCCGCACATCGGGCCCTGGGCTGACAGCTCAGAGCCTGGAGCCTGGAACTTGCTTCGTATTCTGTGTCTCTCTCTCTGCCCTCCCCTGCTCACACTCTGTCTCGTTGTCTCTCAAAAATAAATAAATGTTAAAAAAATATTTTAGCAAAGCAGAAAATCAGCTGTATCCCTTAAACGTACATAGACTCATTTAGTAATATATTATTTTAAGTATATTCTCAAGGATATTCTCAAGTTAGAACTCTTAGAACAGCATTCAACTGATGAAATAAAAATATTGGACATAGTGGCGCCTGGGTGGCATAGTCGGTTAAGCGTCCGACTTTCGCTCAGGTCATGATCTTGCGGTTCGTGGGTTCGTGGGTTCGAGCCCCACGTCGGGCTCTGTGCTGACTGCCAGCTCAGAGCCTGGAGCCTGTTTCAGTCTGTGACTCCCTCTCTCTCTGACTTTCCCCTGCTCACGCTGTCTCTCTTTCTCTCTCCTAGAAATAAATAAAACATTAAAAAAAAATAAAAAAAAATATTGGACATAAATTTCTATCCTAACACATGAGTTAAATATTTAAATTACTATTATTAAAAACTAACAACAATCCATTTAATTCTGGGAAATTCCCTACTCCAAAATGTGTGTATCCTTATGGGCACATGCGTCAGCTTTTGTTTATGGTTTCATTTGTGCCCCTGTTTTATATGTTTCTGCATTGATGTAGTAGAAAAAAAATGCATGTAGAATAAGTGAGCGAAGGTGCAAGCGAGGGAAGGATGGAGAGAAAGAGAAAGAAAAGAGGAGCTCACCTAAGTCAGAGCTCCAGCTCACCCAAGGTGAGGCTCCAGCTCACCCAATGTGGGATTTGAACTCATTAAGCCTGGGATCGTGACCTAAGCAGAAGTCAGATGCTTAACAGCTGAGCCACCAGGCTCCCAGGCCCCAAGACATCTTAACCATTCTTGTTCAGGTATTACTTTTCTGGACATACATTTTTTTTCCTTTCTGGATAAGAGGCATTGAATAAGTAAGGATATCACTTCAGAAATTAATTTCACTGTGGTCTTGATGAAATTAGATTACTGTACATTGTACAATGTTAAAAAAAATCACAATCTTAAACATAATTTTGCCTCTGAAAGGAGCTTCATGAGTGCACTCTTAACTTCTTTGTTCCTCAGGCTATAGACCACAGGGTTCAGCATGGGGATGATCATGGTGTAGAATACAGACGCCATTTTGTCTGTGTCCATGGAATGGCTGGAGCTGGGCTGTAAGTACATGAAGATGATAGTTCCATAAAAGATAGAGACTGCAGAGAAGTGAGAAGCACAGGTGGATAAAGCCTTCTGATATCCTGAAGATGAGTGCATCTTTAGGAGGGTGATAAATATGAATATGTAGGAAATCAAGATAACCAGGAGAGCAAAAATGATGTTGAAGCTCACTACATAAACAAGAACCAGCTCACTTACATGTCTATCAGAGCAAGAGAGAACCATGACTGCAGGAATATCACAGAAAAAGTGATGAATCACATTGGACATACAAAAGGAGAGGCTGAATGTGTCTCCAGTGTGGATAGAGGCATTCAGGAAACCACAGATGTAGGAGCCTATGGTCAGAGATGCACACACACCCGTTGTCATGGTGGTAGTGTAATGGAGGGGTTTGCACACTGCTGCATAGCGGTCATAGGCCATTGAGGCCAACAAGTAATTTTCCACAGTGGCAAACGCTACAAAAAAGAACATCTGAGCAGCACATGTGTTATAAGAGATGACCTTGTCCTCTATTAGTAATCCAGCCATGACTGTGGGAGTGACAGCTGTAGAGTAGCAAAGGTCCACCAGAGACAGGTTACTGAGGAAAAAGTACATGGGAGTGTGGAGACGAGAGTCCAACAGAATCAACACCATTATCCCCAGGTTTCCGACCAGAGTGATGAGGTAGATGAGGGTGAACATGATAAAGAGGGGAACCTGCAGGCCTGGATCACTGGTTAGTCCCAGTAGGATGAACTGTGTCACTTCTGTCCTGTTATCCATCAATGTTGAGAACCACAAATGCTCTGCGGCGATGAGAAGAAAGAAATGGGTGGTGATAAACAGAGACTTATATTGAAAAGTGTACATGCAGATGTGTTATTTCACTAGAGCAGTAGTTTGTATTTCAAGATTCTCCAGATAAAAGAAATTAGTTTGACCACAAAAGTCAGTGCATTAATAATGTGTATTTGCAAACTGTTGAGTCTGAAGTATGGAATGTCTCCTCAATTCTAAAATTTCAGAAATCTGTAAACTGAGGTGTGGAGAATTAAATAACTTGATCAAGATGGCTTGTCCAGAATGAATGCCTGGCAGTTCATTTTCCCCGAACTTAGTGGAAGCAGGTACTTGCACATTACCCACCTTCCAGGAACTGCTGCAGACACTAGAGGTACAGACAGTCCCCACTTACAATGGTTCAGTTTAGGGTTTGTCTACTTGACTATGGGGACACACATTCAGTGGAAATCAAGTTTTGAATTGTGAATTTTGATCTTTTCCCAGCCTAGTGATGTGAGGTTCGACTCTTTTGTGATGCTAGGCATTGGTACCAGCCACAACCCCGAGTCAGCCATGCGATCACGAAGGTCAACAACCCAGACACTGACAACCATTCTGTGGTTCACTTTCAGTACCGCGTTCAAGGCATTACATGACATATTTATTATAAAACAGGCTTTGCATGAGATGATTTTGCTCAACTGTAGGCTAATGTAGGTGCATAGAGTATGTTTGAGGTAGGAGAGGCTAGGCTGTGATGTTCAGTTAATCAAGTGTATTAAGTAAATTTTCAACTTACAACATTTTCAACTTCCTGTAGGGTTATTGGAACATAAGCTTGTTGTAAGTTGTGGAAAATCTGTACATCTTCTCAAGAACATCATGAGTCTGATTTGTTATTACAGTCATTTAAATTATGAAGCACAACGGGCTCCTCGGTGGCTGTCAGTTGAGTGTCTGACTCTTGATTTTGGCTCAGGTCTGGATCTCTGGATCCTGCATCAGGCTTCATGCTGATCTCTTCCTGTCTCTCTGCCCCTCACCCACTTCCGCTCTCTCTCTCTGTGTGTAATAAATAAATATGCACAAGACATTGAGTAATTTTTTATATTTATTTATTGAAAAAATTTAAATATTTATTTTTGAGAGAGAGATAGGCAGAATGCAAGCAAGTGAGGGGCAGAGAGAGAGAGGGAGACATAGAATCTGAAGCAGGCTCCAAGCTCTGAGCTGTCAACACAGAGCACAATGCGGGGCTTGAACCCATGCACCATGAGATCATGACCTGAGCTCAAGTCAGAGACTTAACTGACTGAGACACCCAGGTGCCCCAATTTTTATATTTAAATGAGTATTAATTGACAAGCCATTCTTTGAACCAACTTTTGAACCCACACCGAATGGTTCCTAAGATGATAGTCTGAAGTGTATTTAAATCAAATTGAATTTAACTCAATTTATAATTGCTCTTTGTCTCTACTAGTCCAAAATCAGTTTGTGGTTTCCCACTGAAGTCTCTGAGAGATGCATGCCTAGTGCACATGGTGTGATACCTGGAGCCCGAGGGGCTGGGATAGTCAGTACTCCTCCATAGGTAGAGTACTGTAAATCTGCTCACTTGAACTTGAAGCCTTGGAAGGGCATCCCTCTTCTGCTAACGACTAATATCTTCCTCCTAAACTTTGACAATTTCCCTGTACAAGGAGGGACATTGCTTGCCAACATTGGACATTGTAGATATTGTTTGCTAACTTTAACACACGTGTCCACTGTAGATATTGTTTGCTAACTTTAACACACGTGTCCACTTGGAGCCTATACTACACTCTATAAGCAATAATATGGGCTTTATATGTAAATGCATGTGTGTATACAGTAGGTAGTATTATTATCCCTCCTTCACCACTGTGAAACGTGAGGATTTGAGAAGTTATGTGATGCTCTAAAATACACAGCTAGCGTGGGAAGAAGTCAAGATTCAAGAGTTACATCCCCTTTCTGTGTAATCAAAAGGCTCTGCTTTTAGCCATTTGCTGTCAACATGTGCGATCATACTGGTGACAATAAGCTTGAGATTATAGGGGAGAGTTTAAAATATAGTTTGGAACTTGTTAACTCATAATAGAAATTGTGTAGTTTAACGATTATTTCACTCTTGCTCTTGTTTGTTTCTGTCCAATGAGAGGCCAGCATTGGGTGAACAGGATGAAATCACCACTTGATCAACTAGAGAATCATCTGTGGCTGTTTTGTTTGTAACTTTAGCAAAGCAGAACGATGCTCCTTAAGTATCAGTAAACTCCCTTCTGACGGAAAGTTTGACATTTATATGCCAGTCTCACCTCCGTGTTTTGGAAAAACATTGAATTACTGTTCCCAAACAACTCGAAGTAAGCAGAGCTGCCCTACTGCTTTTGCATGGATTATACTTCTCATTCAAAATGTTTATGGAATATGGATGCTGACCTGTCTGCTGGGTGAGCAGGAAGAGGCAATGCTGAGTAGCGGGTCTGAATCAGAATCTCAGCTGTAGAGTAACGCATAAATCCTACTAAAGGAGCTCTCTCAGGACATGGTCATAAACTCCAAGGTCTGAGGCAGGGAAAATGGAGGAAAGAACATTAAGATGGTTCAATTTCTGAATTTATGCACTTTCTGTGTCCATAGAGGAATCACTTACCTTCTCCTTATTTGTAAAATAAAGATGATAAGATTACCTCTTACATAATTCACAGGCATGTCTCTGTAAATAACAAGCAAAGGGGTTTGTAAAACATCTCAATAAGAAATTATCATTTTTAAAGTCAATCAATGTGATTTTTATCTTCGGATGTTTCCCCTGAATGTGGTTGCAGGCTGATGGAGAATTCCATGATAAGGTTTCTGTGCAGTAGCAAGTTTAATGTTGAGATGAATAAATGATCACCAAATGGGTTCAGGATGTAGACTGGTCCCTCTACAATGATGTCATGTGGAGTCATATTGGGATTTCATTGGGTAATGAAGGGCAATGTAGAGAGAATTATAGACACAGAGCTTCTCTGGGAATTTCCCGTGGGAGAACCTTTCCAGCACCTCATTCCACCTTCCCAAGAGGGAAGCAATTAAACTACCTGTGGGGGCCATGCTGGTTTTCTCATTGAACACGCACGTTTTTGTATTACCGGTTATTTTTGTCAGTTTATAATTAATGCATAATTTCCACACATTAACAGTCACAATTTTAGCATATAGTTGTAGGAATATAGTCAGATTCATGTCAAATAAGCACTGGCACCTAAAAACTTCCTACGAACCATTTTGAGTGAACCCATTCTGTCACTCACTGCTCCTGACAACGAATAAACTGTTTTGTCCAAATAAAGTTGCCTTTTCTAGAGTATCATTAACTGTAATCTTAGCATATGTATTGCTTAGGTCTGTAATTTTTCACTTAGCATTTGAGGCTCATCTGTATTTTTTATAGAAAAACCCTGAATAATGGATTTAAATTTCCCCTAGGAGGTTGAATGTAGAGTCTTCCACCATGACTACGACCTAAACTTAGTGATATATTTCCAAAATGTAGAACTTGCAGGGGGAAAAAATGTAGAATTATACTGAAGCACCCAGCAAACATCTCTTGCTTAGGTGACTAAGATTAAGATTAAGATCCTAAGTGACAAGTCATGTTGGTAGCATATGTCCCCTGATAGGATGTGATAAGAATGGCACTTCTTACTCTTTTTTTAAGACTAAATAAACCTCCGTGTAACCATGACGAAAAGATCAGATGAACATAAATTGAAAGACCTTCTGCAAAATACCTGAGCAGTACTCCTCAAACTCTGTCACAGGTCAGAGGAGACCAAGGAGACAGAATAATATATGCAGTGCTGTATCCTGGATAGGACCCTGTAAGGGCAAAATGGTATTAGTTAAAAAATAATAATCTAAATAAATTCTTGAGTTTTAGATAACAGTACTATATCAACGATAGTTTCTTAGTTTTGACTAATGTGTTATGATAAGGGAAGATGCTACCATCAGGGGAAACTGGGTGAGAAGTATGCAGGGCTTGTCTATATCTCAGAAAAATTTTTGAAACTTTAAAAATCTTTTTAAAATTTAATGATATATTTAAAGTAATTTTTAAAGAAATGGTTCCAAAGCAGGAACTACCATTTTTATAGACTTCAGCACCCAATATTTTTGTTGCACCACACAGACCTGCTAGGACATTCTAGCAGTTTCCCAAATCTTGCGATGTTGAATGTTTCTAAAATTATAGAGGTAGAAAAGGAAGGTGGGTACAAATCCCTTTAGGTAGCTTTATTATAAAATTAGCTCTCCTAAAAGCCAATAAAACGCGCCACTATTATATATTATATTAGCACATTAAGGTAGGATATGTTTATTGTTGTAGAGCATTGCCATACTTAAATTTTCTATGGATGTTTAGAATCATCGGAGTTGATTGAATAATCATTATTTATGAAGATACCTTGCAAATTCAATCAGTTAGGAAACCTTTCGCAGTATCATATTTTGTTATTACGTTTTACTAAATGCCACTTATTTCATGTCTTATTTTTCATTTAATGAGAAATCACTCATAGAAAAGAATTAGAATGGTTTTTATATGAGCTAGTTGATAGTGAGGTTTCCAAAAAGTTACTTGTTCAAAGGTGGGAAATGTAAATAGGGAATAAGAGAATATTAAAAAAAGAAAACTACATCTTATGGAATGCTCTAAAATTCCTTTCTAAAGGATTAGATAATGGGTCATCAACTATAATTATCTATGGTTCAAATATATTTACTGCTGGACTCAAACAAGTAGTTTATTCATTAATTTAACAAATGTTTGTTGAGAATTAGTACAAACCAGGCCATAATTCAATTATGGGGGATGAAGTTGTTAGTAAGGAACACAAAGCCACTCGTCTTGTGCAGTGTACATTTTAGGTAGATAGGTAAATGAATCAATGAACAAATAAATAGAAATAGTTGATCACAACCATAAAGAATAAAGCAAGTTGGGAACAGTGTCCATGGGGGTGAGGTGACTATGGTATAGTAACATTTCAATAAAGACTTGAGGGAAGTGAGGGAACTTTCTGAGCGTTGACAACAGTAGGGAACTCAGTGTGAGTGAAGAGGAAGGAGTGAGTAGGAGAGAAGCAAGACATGATGTAGCTTGTATGAAATTAAGGTAGGGGCACTAGCCATCTCAGAGTATTTCCAGAAAGAAAAATTGATAACATTATCATACCCAGTGTGTTTTATCTTACAAAGTTGAAGACTTGGTAGTCCTACACAGAAAAAAATTAAATTTCTTTATTATTCATTGATCATATTTTCTTCTACTTTGGTCTTCTTGCTTTTGAAAATGATCCTGTGACCATACTGTTTCTACCAACACTAATGAAGATAGAAAAATTAATTCCTTTAACATATTGTATGTTTATTGCTCTGAATAAATGTGCCCCCCAAAGCATAATACTTTATTTAAAATTTTATGTTATTGCATCCCAATGTTTATAGCAGTACTATTGACAGTAGCTAAATTGGAAAGAGCCCAAATGTCGTTTGACTGATGACTGGATAAAGAAGATGTGGTATACTACTAAGCAATGAAAAAGAATGAAATCTTGCTATTCGCAACAACATGAATGGAACTAGAGTGTATTATGCTAAATGAAATAAGTCAGTAAGAGAAAGACAAATATCATATGATTTCACTCATATATGGAATTTAAGAAACAAAACAGATGAACATAGGGGAAGGGAAGTAAAAATAGGATAAAAAGAGAAAGACAAACCATAAGAGACTCTTAAATACAGAGAACAAACTGAGGATTGTTAGAGGAGAGTTGAGTGGGGGAATGGGCTAAATGGGTGATGGGCATTAAGAATTGCACTTGTATACACCAACAATGAAGCAACAGAAAGAGAAATCAAGAAACTGATCCCATTCACAATTGCACAAAAAAACATAAAATACCTAGGAATAAACCTAACCAAGGATACAAGAGATCTGTATGATGAAAACTATAGAAAAGTTATAAAGGAAATTGAAGAAGACACAAAGAAATGGAAAAACATTCCATGCTCAGGGATAGAAAGAATAAACATAGTTAAGATGTCATTGCTACCCAAATCTATCTACACATTCAATGCAATCCCAATCAAAATTGCACCAGCATTCTTCTCAAAACTAGAACAAACTATCCTAAATTTTGTAGGAACCACAAAAGACCCCGAATAGCCAAAGTAATACTGAAAAATAAAACCAAAACGGGAGGTATCACCATCCCAGACTTTAGCCTCTACTCCAAAGCTGTCTCATCAAGACAGTATGGTATTGGCACAAAAACAGACCCATAGACCAATGGAACAGAATTGAGAACTCAGAAGTGGACCCAAAAGTGTACAGCCAACTAATCTTTGACAAAGCAGGAAAGAGTATCCAATGGAAAAAAGACAGCCTCTTTATTTTTATTTTTTTTTTTTACAAATAGTTTATTGTCAAATTAGTTTCTACATAACACTCAGTGCTCATCCCCAAAGTGCCCTCCTCCATGCCCATCCCCCCTCCCCCCCCACATCCATCAGTCCTCAGTTTTTGTCAGCATTCAAGAGTCTCTCATGGTTTGCCTCTCTCCCTTTCCCCCACCATTTCCGCCCTTCTTCTCCCCCTTGTTCCTCCGTCAAGTTCCTCCTAATCCTCCTATACGTGCAAACATATG